CACACCACACACACACACACACACACACACACACACACACACACACACACACACGTGATTTAGATTTCAGACAGTTTGCCCCCAATACACTAGACATTTTTCTCAGCATTGTCTGCGCTGTCATAGGACAGTCCTTGTCCTCAGGGACCACACCCTACCCAGGAGGCAGGTTTCAGTGCTAAAGAACATGACCAATAGTAGGAAGATTCCTGAAGACAGCCATGCTGCCTCAGCAGGGCAGGGCTTTGATCCACTCAGATCTGGGACTGAATCTTGGCTCTGTCATGCATTGAGTGTGGCCTTTGACAAGGGACAGCCTCCAGTGTCCAGATGTCCTCAGCTGAGCAGGCAGGCAAGGATGCTGTCCTCACAGGCCCTCTGAGACCTGCTGTCTCAGCTCATCCTTCGCTACTGAAGGGAGGCAGGGGAGCAGGAGGCCACAGGTCAAACACCTCGCCAAATGCATAGACTGTAGTGGTCCAGGCTAGCTGACACACAAGCGCTCAGGTCCTGGCAGGGACTGCACCGAGGCTGTGTTTCCTCTCACATGGTCCTGTTTCCAAACCCTAGATTCCAGCAGAAGGTCAGCTGATCCTCCTGGGGGGCCAGTGCCATGGCAGGCCCTCTGAGTGGCAATGGCTCTGCTGCCACCAATGCGGCCGTTAGCTTGCCCCTAGCCTAGTGTACAAGCATTCCAGTAAAGATGTGATTCTGGTGTCCTGTGGGGATAGCAGAGCCCCCACAGCCTGCCTTCTGTGGCCCAAAGGTGGTTTTTCTCTTTTAAAAAATGGTTTTATTTTTCTTTATTTTGTGTGCATATGTGTGTATGTGGAATTTGGGGGTGTGGTGTCATAGCACATGTAGATGTCAGAGGACAACTTAAATTTAGGGTCAGGTCTCTTCTTCCACCTCGGTGTGGGGATCGAACTCAGCTAGGAAGGCTAGGCAGAACATGCCTTTATCCCCTGAATCATCTCCACGGGCTGTGTGTTCTAATGGATGGCACTGGGAGTGTGGGTGGTCTGTAAAGATCACAGTTGCAGTTGATGGACCAGCAGGGACCACAGAGCTGGAGTACCCCTATTTAACTGGGGCTGAGGATTCTCTTGCTCTCTGGAGTTCCCAGGCTGATGACAGCCACTGCCCGGTCACCCAGTTCTATGAGGGCACTGCTGGTCTGACAGGTGAGGGTATGGGTTCTGCCCAGAAGGAGATGCTAGTCTGATGGCGGAGCCATGTTTCTGCATCCTCAGAGGGTTCTCCAGTTCTAAGTGGGAGACCCCCAGGCTGAAGGGGAGACAAATCCCTAGTCCTTAGTGAGCTCCAGTCTGGGGTGGGGGAGACAAGCCCCTCAGCTGCGGGAGATACAAGATAATAAGACACGCAACAGAAACTTCCCAGCAGCGTGGACCTAATCAGCACGGCTGCTTGAGCTCCTCATTTACACTTCCCGGGGAAATGGCAAAGTAGCAGGAATGTGCAAATTGAGGAAATTAATATAATTACCCGAGCTAGCTCCTGTCAGCTTTCCCCATCAACAGAAGACCTGGACCTCTCCCTGTGAGTGGTGAGTGGCGGCTGGGGGTTCTGTCCCCCTAGCCAGCAGCGGGGCGACAACTAGATCCTCCTATGCGGGATGGGTGTCCCCAAGAGCAGGGAATGACCTTGGTGTGGAGTGGGCACTTGGCTTCACATCCAGTGATCTGGGCTTTAGTTCTGGTTCTGCCTCCTTTGGCCACATGATCGGTAAGCCTCTGAAGTTAGGGAGTTGTGCATCAGTCAGATCAGACATCTCTCCCGCCCCGTTCCTTTCAAAGGAGGCTTCTGGACCCCAGGCATCATCCATCTTGCTGGCCCCACCCACATGTCACCCACTCTGGTAATCATTAGGGTCTATTAGGTCCCCAGAGGGAGGTACCAGCATGATCCTACTTCACAGAGGAGACCCTGGTCACTGCACAGAGGAAGACCCCAGAACTGCAGGTGCAACATGCCTTCCTTGTTTACCCACAAAGCCCCACCATTTTAATTTGCTGCAAGAGGATCCCTGTGAGGACAGATGCTCACACAGGAGGCTCAGCACTGTTGCAAAGCCTTAGCTGAAGTTTTAGTTCTAGATGTGGGGATATTGGCCGTGCTGACCATATAGGAGGTCCCATCTCATGATAAATGGAGTTAACTTGTGATAAGTGGGAGCCCCGAGTAGCCATGCTCCTAGATGCTCTCCTTAATGTAACTTGAAAGGGATGTGGAAATAGCTCATTCAGTGAGGCGCTTGCCTTGCAAGCCTAAGGACCTGAGTTCGATTCCCAGAACCCACGTGAAAACTGCCCAGTCTGGTGGCATATTGCTGGGGAAGTGGAAGCAGGCCCTTGCTTTCTGGGAGCTGAGCCTGCTTTCACAGGTGGCATAGCTTAGAAAAGAGAAGGTTACAGGAGCCTTGTCCTCCTGAGATTGGGGCTTCTCTCCTGGTGCTCTATTCCAGCTGGCTTCGGTTTCCCCCTCTGCTTGAGAGTATTGACAGTTCTTTCTTGGAACTGCTCAGCTTGGCCTGGTGCAGGGCAACACTGCTCAGGGCTCACTGTTGTAAGCATTGATGTTTATCAGGGTGGGTCACTCATGAGTGGGGCCAGCAAGATGGGTGGAGCCTTTAAGACGCCTCCTCTTAAAGGACCTTGTCTGGGAGGCTAGAAAGATGTCTCAGTGATTAAGAACGCTGGCTGTTATTGCAAAGGACCTGGGTTTGGTTCCCAGCACCCACATGGTAGGTCACAACTGTCAGTATCTCCAGTTCCAGGGGATCTGACTCCCTCCTCTGGCCTCTGTTCATATTAGGAATGCACATGGTATTAGGCATATGTGCATATATGCCA